AGCATCATCACACTGACTCTGTCTCTCTGCTGTCTCTCATCATAGCAGCAGCATCACACTAACTGTGTCTCTCTGCTGTGTCTCTCTCATCATAGCAGCATCATCATCACACTAACTCTGTCTCTCTGCTGTGTCTCTCTCTCTCTCATCATAGCATCATCAGCACACTAACCCTGTCTCTCTGCTGTGTCTCTCTCTCATCATAGCATCATCATCACACTAACCCTGTCTCTCTGCTGTGTCTCTCTCATCATAGCAGCATCATCATCACACTAACTCTGTCCCTCTCTGCTGTGTCTCTCTCTCATCATAGCAGCATCATCATCACACTAACTCTGTCTCTCTGCTGTGTCTCTCTTTCATCATAGCAGCATCATCACACTAGCCCTGTCTCTCTGCTGTGTCTCTCTCTCATCATAGCAGCATCATCATCACACTAACTCTGTCTCTCTGCTGTGTCTCTCTCATCATAGCAGCAGCATCACACTAACTCTGTCTCTCTGCTCTGTCTCTCATCATAGCAGCATCATCACACTAACCCTGTCTCTCTGCTGTCTCTCTCATCATAGCAGCATCATCATCACACTAACCCTGTCTCTCTGCTGTGTCTCTCTCATCATATCAGCATCATCACACTATCTCTGTCTCTCTGCTATGTCTCTCATCATAGCAGCATCATCACACTAACTCTGTCTCTCTGTTGTGTCTCTGTGTCTCTATCTGTGTCTCTGTCTGTGTGTCTCTGTCTGTGTGTCTCTGTGTCTGTATGTCTCTGTGTCTCTGTGTCTCTGTCTGTGTCTCTGTGTCTGTGTGTCTCTGTGTGTCTCTGTGTCTGTGTGTCTCTGTCTGTGTGTCTGTGTGTCTCTGTCTGTGTCTCTGTGTCTCTGTCTGTGTCTTTGTGTCTGTGTGTCTCTGTCTGTGTGTCTCTGTGTCTCTGTCTTTGTCCCTGTCTGTGTGTCTCTGTGTCTCTGTCTGTGTGTCTCTGTATCTCTGTGTCTCTGTCTGTCACTCTGTGTCTGTCTGTGTCTCTGTCTGTGTGTGTCTCTATGACTCTGTGTCTTTGTCTGTGTCTCGGTGGCTCTGATGGTTATCATCATCACCTGGGGGTGCACAATCAGCTGCAGGCACATTCCTCATCTCTATCTCTCTCCACCTCCTCTCTCGCTCTCTCTCCACCTCCTCTCTCTCCACCTCCTCTCTCTCTCCACCTCCTCTCTCTCCACCTCCTCTCTCTCCACCTCCTCTCTCTCCACCTCCTCTCTCTCGCTCTCTCTCCACCTCCTCTCTCTCCACCTCCTCTCTCTACAACTCCTCTATCTCCACCTCCTCTCTCTCCACCTCTCTCGCTCTCTCTCCACCTCCTCTCTCTCCACCTCCTCTCTCTCCATCTCCTCTCTCGCTCTCTCCACCTCCTCTCTCGCTCTCTCCACCTCCTCTCTCTCCACCTCCTCTCTCTCCACCTCCTCTCTCGTTCTCTCTCCACCTCCTCTCTCTCTACATCTCTCTCTCTCCACCTCTTCTCTCGCTCTCTCTCCACCTCTCTCTCCACCTCTCTCTCTCCACCTCCTCTCTCTCCACCTCCTCTCTCTCCACATCTCTCTCGCTCTCCACCTCTCTCGCTCTCCACCTCTCTCTCTCCACCTCCTCTCTCTCCACCTCCTCTCTCTCCACCTCCTCTCTCTCCACCTCCTCTCTCTCCACCTCCTCTCTCTCCACCTCCTCTCTCTCCACCTCCTCTCTCTCCACCTCCTCTATCCATCTCCCTCTCTCTCCACATCTCTCTCGCTCTCCACCTCTCTCGCTCTCCACCTCTCTCTCTCCACCTCCTCTCTCTCCACCTCCTCTCTCTCCACCTCCTCTCTCTCCACCTCTCTCTCTCTCTCCACCTCCTCTCTCTCCACCTCCTCTCTCTCCAACTCCCTCCTCTCTCCAGTTGGAGGGACGAAGTGGAGAGAGAGGAAGTGGAGAGAGAGGAGGTGGAGAGAGAGAGAGAGGAGGTGGAGAGAAAGAGGAGGTGGAGAGAGAGAGAGGAGGTGGAGAGAGATAGAGATGAGGAATGTGCCTGCAGCTGATTGTGCACCCCCAGGTGATGATGATAACCATCAGAGACTTTTTTCACTTTGTAAACAACTTCCATTGCCGCCAGAAGCAACAGCACTGGTGGCGACTCCGTTATGAAACACACAAAGTCACCAGCAACACAAATAACCACAAACTCTGATTTGAAGCTTCCGCGACTGCAGGGATTCAAATTCTTGGTTCTTTCGGTAAAGTCACCACCACGTAGAAGGGAAACAATAAAATAAGAAAAATATAAAACAATAAAATTCTCACGACGTTTCGACTGCAACACAAGCAGCAATCATCATCAGGTGTGAAAACCTGAGACAGACAGAGACAGAGACACAGAGACAGACAGAGACAGAGACATAGATACACAGAGTGACAGACGGAGACAGAGACAGAGACACAGACAGAGACACAGAGACGCAGACAGAGACACAGAGACAGACAGAGACACAGAGTGACAGACAGAGACACAGACAGAGACACAGAATGACAGACAGAGACACAGACAGACAGAGACACAGAGACAGAGTGACAGACAGAGACACAGAGACACAGAGTGACAGACAGAGACACAGAGGCACAGACAGAGACACAGAGACACAGAGACGCAGACAGAGACACAGAGACACAGACAGAGACACAGAGTGACAGACAGAGACACATACAGAGACACAGAATGACAGACAGAGACACAGACAGACAGACACAGAGACAGAGTGACAGACAGAGACACAGAGACACAGAGTGACAGACAGAGACACAGAGGCACAGACAGAGACACAGACAGAGACACAGAGTGACAGACGGAGACACAGACAGAGACACAGACAGAGACAGACAGAGACGCAGACAGGGACACAGACAGAGACACAGAGTGACAGACAGAGACACAGACAGAGACACAGAATGACAGACAGAGACACAGAGACACAGACAGAGACACAGACAGACAGAGACACAGAGTGACAGACAGAGACACAGAGACACAGAAAGAGACACAGACAGAGACACAGAGACACAGACACAGACAGAGACACAGAGACACAGACAGAGACACAGAGTGACAGACAGAGACACAGAGACACAGAGTGACAGACAGAGACACAGAAACACAGAAAGAGACACAGAGACACAGACAGAGACACAGACACACAGAGACACAGACAGAGACACAGACAGAGACACAGAGTGACAGACAGAGACATAGATACACAGAGTGACAGACGGAGACACAGAGACACAGACAGAGACACAGACAGAGACAGACAGAGACGCAGACAGAGACACAGACAGAGACACAGAGTGACAGACAGAGACACAGAATGACAGACAGAGACACAGAGACACAGACAGGCAGAGACACAGAGTGACAGACAGAGACACAGAGACACAGAAAGAGACACAGAGACACAGACACAGAGACACAGACAGAGACACAGAGTGACAGACAGAGACACAGAGACACAGACAGAGACACAGAGACACAGAGTGACAGAGACACAGACAGAGACAGACAGAGACACAGAGTGACAGACAGAGACACAGAGACACAGACAGAGACACAGACAGAGACACAAACACAGAGACACAGACAGAGACACAGAGACACAGACAGAGACACAGAGTGACAGAGACAGAGTGACAGAGACACAGAGATACAGAGACACAGACAGAGACACAGAGAGAGACACAGACAGAGACACAGAGACACAGACAGACACAGAGACACAGAGTGACAGAGACACAGACAGAGACACAGAAACACAGACAGAGACACAGAGACACAGACAGAGACACAGAGTGACAGAGACACAGAGTGACAGAGACACAGACAGAGACACAGAAACACAGACAGAGACACAGAGACACAGAGAGAGACACAGAGTGACAGAGACACAGACAGAGACACAGAGTGACAGAGACACAGAGTGACAGAGACACAGACAGAGACACAGAGACACAGAGAGAGCGGCTCCCAACTCTCTGGCTGGGACCAGCCAGGGAGAAATTTTGAAGAATTTTGAACAATTTTCTCGCTGTGGTTTTCACACCTGATGATGATTGCTGCTCGTGTTGCAGTCGAAACGTCGCGAGAATTGTATTGTTTTATATTATTATTATTTTATTGTTTCCCTTCTACGTGGTGGTGACTTTACCGAAAGAACCAGAATATGAATCCCTGCCCTCACGAAAGCTTTAAATTAAAAAAATGTCTAATAGTGTTATTGTATTTACATTGCTCTGTTTATTTATTTTGTTTATCTTTTCTTGTGTATCTCATGGTAGAGATTAGGGATGTATAAAGTACAACCATAACCACAATCATATAAACAGAAATCTATTTTATAGCAATATATTGGGGGAGGGGACATTTTGAGCATATTCATTATAATTGCAACTCCAACGCTTTCTCTCCTATACCACCGTGGTCTTCAACAAATAAATGTAACATCCACAGTACGCCGCGTGTGTGTGTATTGTATACAAATACATGTATATAAAACAAGCGACGTTTCGGGCGATAGACCCTTTTTTTAAAAATCAGCGCCTGAGGAGGCACGAGGGCGTGGTTTAGCTGTCCACGCCCACATTCCAGACAGAGTCGCTCACCCATTGGCTGCCGGTGTCGCACAAGCCCCACCTCCCTCATGCCCATAGAAGGCAGACCACGCCCCCCTCTTCCGCCCCGAGCTGTCCACATCCCCCATTGTACACCTGGCCCCACCCCTATTCTACATCTGGCCCCGCCCCCACCTGGCCCCGCCCCCAGTTCCCCACCTGGCCCCGCCCACATTCCCCACCTGGCCCCGCCCCCACTCATCATCTGCCCCCCCACTGTACACCTGACCCCGACCCCACTCTACACCTGGTCCCCCTCCCCATTCCCCACCTGGCCCCGCCCACATTCCTCACCTGGCCCCGCCCACATTCCCCACCTTGCCCCGCCCCTCCCCACTCTCCACCTGGCCCCGCCCTCACCTGAGAGAGTGGCGAGTCAGCTGCGCGTGGCCGAGTCGAAGGCGTCCGCTGGTTTAGGGGGGTCCACATCGCCCCCCCCCCCCCCCAGCGTTAATTACCGTAATTACCGTAATCACCGCAGTCGACGTGGTAATTACCGTGGTGGTGGTGGTGAGGGGGCCACTGGGAGGTGAGGAGCAGCGACTACAACGAGGAATACGGTAACGGATTGACCATTTGCACTTGATGCTGCTGTTGTTGCTGTTGTTGTAAACCGGTCCTGGGCCTCCCCTAGGTCGACTCAGCCTCAAATGAGCACCTGGTGCGGTCTGTCGTAAACAGCGCCAACTGGGGAGACAAAGGCGGCCGGGCCTGGTGGTGCTGGGCACCCACCCCCTCGTGTGCCACAGTGCCGGTAGCCTTCACAGCTGCTGCTCGCTACTCACAGCACTTGCCCCTACAGCCTGTTAGAGGCTACACGGGGGACCTTTGTCTGTGTCTATAGGTGCTGCTCGCTACTCACAGCACTTGCCCCTACAGCCTGTTAGAGGCTACACGGGGGACCTTTGTCTGTGTGTCTATAGGTGCTGCTCGCTACTCACAGCACTTGCATGCGCGGTCGTTACGTCACGTGAGACTCTTTGAGCGTATAGTAGTGTGTAGTAGTGTAGTGTATAGTGTAGTTTATAGTGTAGTGTATAGTAGTGTAATGTATAGTAGTGTATCGTAGTGTATAGTGTAGTGTATAGTGTAGTGTATAGTAGTGTAATGTATAGTAGTGTATCGTAGTGTATAGTGTAGTATATAGTAGTGTGTAGTGTATAGTGTAGTATAGTATAGTGTATAGTTGTGCATAGTGTAGTTTATAGTGTAGTGTATAGTAGTGTATAGTGTAGTGTATAGTGTAGTGTATAGTAATGTAGTGTATAGTGTAGTGTATAGTATAGTGTATTGTATAGTGTAGTGTATAGTAGTGTATATTAGTGTATAGTGTAGTGTATAGTAGTGTATAATGTAGTGTATAGAGTAGTGTATAGTGTAGTGTATAGTATTGTGTAGTGTATAGTGTAGTGTATAGTAGTGTATATTAGTGTATAGCGTAGTGTATAGTCGTGTATAGTGTATAGTAGTGTGTAGTGTATAGTGTAGTGTATAGTAGTGTATAGTGTAGTGTGTAGTGTATCGTAGTGTATAGTGTAGTGTATAGTAGTGTATAGTGTAGTGTATAGTAGTGTATCGTAGTGTATAGTGTAGTGTAGAGTAGTGTATAGTGTAGTGTATAGTGTAGTGTATAGTAGTGTAGTGTATAGTGTAGTGTATAGTGTAGCGTATTGTATAGTGTAGTGTATAGTAGTGTATATTAGTGTATAGCGTAGTGTATAGTGTAGTGTATAGCGTAGTGTATCGTAGTTTATAGTGTAGTGTATAGTGTAGTGTATCGTAGTGTATAGTGTAGTGTATAGCGTAGTGTATAGTGTAGTGTATAGCTTAGTGTCTAGTGTAGTGTATAATGTAGTGTATAGTAGTGTAGTGTATCGTAGTCTATAGTGTAGTGTATAGTGTAGTGTATAGTAGTGTGTAGTGTAGTGTATAGTGTAGTGTATAGTAGTGTAGTGTGTAGTGTAGTGTGTAGTGTCTAGTGTAGTGTATAGCGTAGTGTCTAGTGTAGTGTATAGTGTAGTGTACAGTAGTGTGCTCACACGCCAGCCGCACATCCGTCTGTCTCCACGGCACCGCCTCACTACAACAGCTGGCAGGCTGTCTGGCTAGCGGCGTATCAGCTGGTCGAGACAGCTGCGACGGACCGTGGACACGGCGAGGGGATCCACTTCCCACGACAGCCCCGAGCCCCCCGTCCCGGGACCCTCCTCTTATCCTCCTGGCGTGGCCTCGCCCCGCCCTTAACGGCAGCTTCTCGGGCGTCCGGATCGACGCCTTCCTGCACTTGCTCCTTCGATGTCCTTCGGCTGACGCGCGTACTGTCCCCCTGCTGACATTACCGCTTCCCCGTCAGCACCCCGCGTTATTACACTACATCACCCCTCCACAAACCCCGTAAAAAAATAAAAAAACACCCCAGTCGTCCCAGGCCGATCTTACGATCCGGCAAGGAAAGTGGCCTGGTCTCAGTTAGCTGATGAAAGTTGCAAGCGGGAATTTCGTCATCGCTTGCGGCTGGAATTGGCATCGTCCCCGACTGCTCCTGATGTCGAGGGTAAATGGGCGAGGTTTAGGACTGTGACTCATGCAGCTGCAATGGCTGCTTTGGGTACGCGGTCCAGACCTCCCCCAGAGACCCTGGCTGACAGAGGAGGTGTTCAGGATGGTTGAGAAAAAGGGACAGGCCCACTGTCATCAGCTACAGAATCCCACGTCAGAGAATGAGGAGGCTTACCGCAGCCTTCGCTCGGGGGTTCTGAGAGCCGTGAGGCGCTGCAAGGATGGGTGGTGGTCGCGGGTTGCTGAGGAGATGGAATCTGCCTCAGTGGCCCACGATCACAAATCGCTTTTTAATTTCATCAAAAAAGTAACACACCTATTACCATCATTACGGGAAAGAAAGGTGATTCAATCTCCGACCCCCGGAAACAGGTTTACAGATTTGCTGAGCATTTCTGTGAGGTCATGGGGGAGGGGAAATCCCTCAGCCTGGAAAAAAAAAACATCGTAGGACAAAGTAGGGATGACCCTGTTGAGGCTGCGGTGCCTCAAATATTGGAAGAAGAAGTCATCTGTTGAGGAAGTACTGAAGGCGATCCAGAGTCTGAGACCAGGAAAGGCACCAAGTGAAATGCTGAGGGAGGGTGGCGTTTGTGCACAGACTGCCCTACATGACATCATAACAACAGTCTGGACCACTGGATGGGTTCCACAGGATTGGAAGGATGCCCTGGTGGTCCCCCTCTTTAAGGGGCATCTCACAAGGATTATTCAACATCGCCTTGCCAGGCACGCTGAGGAGAGGCTTGCGGAGCCCCAATGCGGTTTCAGGAAAGGGCGATACTGCACAGATGCCATATTTTCCGTCCGTCTGCTACAGCAGAGGTATAGGGAATTCCTACAAGACCTACATCTCTGCTTTATTGACCTGGTCAAGGCCTATGATACCATCAGTAGGCATAGGCTTTGGGTTGTTCTGTGTGCTTTCAGAGTCCCTGACTCTGTTCACAATCATTCAGGACCTTCATGATGGCCAGTGGGCCCGGGTAAAACTACGTGGCCGGGAGTCAGAGCCATTCCCTGTACACCTTGGGGTGCGACAGGGATGTCCTCTGGCTCCCACATTATTTAACATCTATTTCAGCTCGATCGATGCCCAGGTGCGATCAAGGGATGGCTCCGTGTTGGTCAACCATGTTATGTATGCCGATGATGTGGTAATTGCTGGTCACTCGGAGGAGGAATTGGAGGCGCTGCTGCTCAGACTGGAGCTTGCTACTAAGAGGGGGGGGGGGGCCTTACCATCAGCCCCACTTAAACTAAGCACCTGCCTGGGTGTTTTGTACCATCGGACACTCCACCCCCACAACTCCCAATCGGTGATGGGGCAGTTGTGGAGAGAGTGGAGAGTTTCCCATACCTGGGCAGTGTGCTCATGACCGGCTCTAGTTTGACAGCAGAATTCTCGATCCGAATCAGTCGAGCGGCAATATCTTTTCATCGGTTGCATAACGCCGTGTGGATGCTACCTGGTCTGTCAACAACGGGTGGAGCGCCGGGTGGCTAAAGCACAGCAAGTTGGCACAGTAGGGGGCACAGGTGGTGCATCAGCCAGTCATCTCAGTCAGTCGACCCGTGGCACCTGGGTCTGCCCCGTGACCTCCTGACAGCGGGCGATCGACACTTCACGTGGCCTCAACATGCACCTAGCCTGGCACAGGCATCGTGGTGACGTCACTGCCACTTAGTGGCGAATGGCGGTTGTTGTTGTGTGTGCATCTCATTTGTCTATAGCTGTGTCTCAGCTGTTTGTGTGTCTCACCTGTGTCTCACCTGTGTGTCTCACCTGTGTGTCTCACATGTGTCTCACTTGTGTGTGTGTCTCACCTGTGTCTCACATGTGTGTGTCTCACCTGTCTGTGTGTGTCTCACCTGTGTCTCACATGTGTGTGTCTCACCTGTGTGTGTGTCTCACCTGTGTGTCTTACCTGTGTATCACCTGTGTGTGTCTGTGTCTCACCTGTGTGTGTGTCTCACCTGTGTGTGTCTCACCTGTGTGTCTTACCTGTGTATCACCTGTGTGTGTCTGTGTCTCACCTGTGTGTGTGTCTCACCTGTGTGTGTGTGTCTCACCTGTGCAGGGTAGGTGTGGTGAACATGGCTGCACCTCCCCAGCTGCTAGGAGCTGGAGAACTCCCTCCTGTGTGTGTCTCACCTGTGTGTGTGTCACCTGTGTGTGTGTCTCACCTGTGTGTGTCTCACCTGTGTGTGTCTCACCTGTGTCTCACCTGTGTGTGTGTGTCTCACCTGTGTGTGTCTCACCTGTGTGTGTGTCTCACCTGTGCAGGGCAGGTGTGGTGAACATGGCTGCACCTCCCCAGCTACAGGAGCTGGAGAACTCCCTCCTGTGTGTGTCTCACCTGTGTGTGTGTGTGTCACCTGTGTGTCTCACCTGTGTCTCACCTGTGTGTGTGTGGGTCTCACCTGTGCGTGTGTCTCACCTGTGTGTGTGTGGGTCTCACCTGTGTGTGTGTCTCACTTGTGTGTGTGTGTGTGTGTCTCACCTGTGCAGGGCAGGTGTGGTGAACATGGCTGCACCTCCCCAGCTACAGGAGCTGGAGAACTCCCTCCTGTGTGTGTCTCACCTGTGTCTGTGTGTGTCTCACCTGTGTGTGTCTCACCTGTGTGCGTTTCTCACCTGTGTGTGTCTCACTTGTGTGTGTGTCTCACCTGTGTGTCTTACCTGTGTGTGTGTGTCTCACCTGTGTGTCTTACCTGTGTCTCACCTGTGTGTGTGTGTCTCACCTGTGTGTGTGTGTCACCTGTGTGTGTCTCACCTGTGTGTGTGTCTCACCTGTGTGTGTCTGTGTCTCAACTGTGTGTTTCACCTGTGTATCACCTGTGTGTCTCACCTGTGTGTGTGTCTCACCTGTGTGTGTCTCACTTGTGTGTGTGTCTCACCTGTGTGTCTCACCTGTGTGTGTGTCTCACCTGTGTGTGTGTGTCTCACCTGTGCAGGGCAGGTGTGATGAACATGGCTGCACCTCCCCAGCTACAGGAGCTGGAGAACTCCCTCCTGTGTGTGTCTCACCTGTGTGTGTCTCACCTGTGTCTGTGTGTCTCACCTGTGTGTGTGTCTCACCTGTGTGTGTGTCTCACCTGTATGTGTGTCTCACCTGTGTCTCACCTGTGTCTCACCTGTGTGTGTGTCTCACATGTGTGTGTCTCACCTGTGTCTCACCTGTGTGTCTCACCTGTGTGTGTGTCTCACTTGTGTGTCTCACCTGTGTGTGTCTCACCTGTGTGTGTGTGTGTCTCACCTGTGCAGGGCAGGTGTGGTGAACATGGCTGCACCTCCCCAGCTACAGGAGCTGGAGAACTCCCTCCTGTATCGGAGGAGACACAAACACGGCGATGTGGCGGAGGCACGGCCCAGCCTCGTGTGAGAACTCACACTCACCTGTGTCTCTGTGTCTCACCTGTGTCTGTGTGTGTCTCACCTGTGTCTGTGTGTGTCTCACCTGTGCCTGTGTCTCACCTGTGCCTGTGTCTCACCTGTGTCCATGTGTGTCACCTGTGTCTGTGTGTGTCTCACCTGTGTCTGTGTCTCACCTGTGTCTGTGTGTGTCTCACCTGTGTCTGTGTCTCACCTGTGTCTGTGTGCGTCTCACCTGTGTCTGTGTCTCTCCTGTGTCTGTGTGTGTCTCAGCTGTGTCTGTGTGTGTCTCACCTGTGCCTGTGTCTCACCTGTGTCTGTGTCTCACCTGTGTCTGTGTGTGTCTCACCTGTGTCTGTATCTCACCTATGTCTGTGTGTGCCTCACCTGTGCCCCTGTCTCACCTGTGTCTGTGTGTGTCTCACCTGTGCCTGTGTCTCACCTATGTCTGTGTGTGCCTCACCTGTGCCCCTGTCTCACCTGTGCCTGTATGTGTCTCACCTGTGCCTGTGTGTGTCTGTGTATCACCTGTGTCTATGTGTGTCTGTGTGTGTCTGTGTGTGTCTCACCTGTATCTGTGTGTGTCTCACCTGTGTCTGTGTCTCACCTGTATCTGTGTGTGTCTCACCTGTATCTGTGTGCTTCTCACCTGTGTCTGTCTGTATCTCACCCGTTTCTGTGTCTCACCTGTGTATGTATGTGTCACCTGTGTCTGTGTGTGTCTCACCTGTGTCTGTGTCTTACCTGTGTCTACGTGTGTCTCACCTGTGTATGTCTCACCTGTGTCTGTGTGTTTTTCACCTGTGTCTGTGTGTGTCTCACCTGTGTCTGTGTCTCACCTGTATCTGTGTGTGTCTCACCTGTGTCTGTGTGTGTCACCTGTGTCTGTGTGTGTCTCACCTGTGTGTGTGTCTCACCTATGTCTGTGTCTCACCTGTGTCTGTGTGTGTCTCACCGGTGTCTGTGTGTGTCTCACCTTTGCCTGTGTCTCACCTGTGTCTGCGTGTGTCTCACCTGTGTCTGCGTGTGTGTCTCACCTGTGTCTGTGTGTGTCTCACCTGTGTCTGTGTCTCACCTGTGTCTGTGTGTGTCTCACCTGTGTCTGTGTGTGTGTCACCTGTGTCTGTGTGTGTCTCACCTGTGTCTGTGTCTCACCTGTGTCTGTGTGTGTCTCACCTGTGTCTGTGTGCGTCTCACCTGTGTCTGTGTCTCACCTGTGCCTGTGTGTGTCTCAGCTGTGTCTGTGTGTGTCTCACCTGTGCCTGTGTCTCACCTGTGTCTCACCTGTGTCTGTGTCTCACCTGTGTCTGTGTGTGTCTCACCTGTGTCTGTGTGTGTCTCACCTGTGTCTGTGTGTGTCTGTGTGTGTCTCACCTGTGTCTGTGTCTCACCTATGTCTGTGTGTGTCTCACCTTTGCCTGTGTCTCACCTGTGTCTGTGTGTGTCTCACCTGTGTCTGTGTGTGTCAGTGTGTGTCTAACCTGTGCCTGTATGTGTCTCACCTGTGCCTGTGTGTGTCTGTGTATCACTTGTTTCTGTGTGTGTCTATGTGTGTCTGTGTGTGTCTCAGCTGTATCTGTGTGTGTCTCACCCGTTTCTGTGTCTCACCTGTGTATGTATGTGTCACCTGTGTCTGTGTGTGTCTCACCTGTGTCTGTGTCTCACCTGTGTCTGTGTGTGTGTCACCTGTGTCTGTGTGTGTGTCACCTGTGTCTGTGTCACCTGTGTCTGTGTCTCACCTGTGTGTGTGTCTCACCTATGTCTGTGTCTCCCCTGTGTCTGTGTCTCACCTGTGTCTGTGTGTGTCTCACCTGTGTCTGTGTGTGTGTCTGTGTGTGTGTCACCTGTGTCTGTGTCTCACCTGTGTCTGTGTGTGTCTGTGTGTGTCTCACCTGTGTCTGTGTGTGTCTCACCGGTGTCTGTGTGTGTCTCACCTTTGCCTGTGTCTCACCTGTGTCTGCGTGTGTGTCACCTGTGTCTGTGTGTGTCTCACCTGTGTCTGTGTGTGTCTAACCTGTGCCTGTGTCTCACCTGTGTCTGTGTGTGTGTCACCTGTGTCTGTGTGTGTCACCTGTGTCTGTGTGTGTCTCACCTGTGTCTGTGTCTCACCTGTGTCTGTGTCTCACCTGTGTCTGTGTGTGTGTCACCTGTGTCTGTGTGTGTGTCACCTGTGTCTGTGTCACCTGTGTCTGTGTCTCACCTGTGTGTGTGTCTCACCTATGTCTGTGTCTCCCCTGTGTCTGTGTCTCACCTGTGTCTGTGTGTGTCTCACCTGTGTCTGTGTGTGTGTCTGTGTGTGTGTCACCTGTGTCTGTGTCTCACCTGTGTCTGTGTGTGTCTGTGTGTGTCTCACCTGTGTCTGTGTGTGTCTCACCGGTGTCTGTGTGTGTCTCACCTTTGCCTGTGTCTCACCTGTGTCTGCGTGTGTGTCACCTGTGTCTGTGTGTGTCTCACCTGTGTCTGTGTGTGTCTAACCTGTGCCTGTGTCTCACCTGTGTCTGTGTGTGTGTCACCTGTGTCTGTGTGTGTCACCTGTGTCTGTGTGTGTCTCACCTGTGTCTGTGTGTGTCACCTGTGTCTCTGTGTGTCTCAGCTGTGTCTGTGTCTCACCTGTGTCTGTATGTGTCTGTGTGTGTCTCACCTGTGTCTGTGTCTCACCTGTGTCTGTGTGTATCTCACCTGTGCCTGTGTCTCACCTGTGTCTGTGTGTGTCTTACCTGTGTCTGTGTGTGTCAGTGTGTGTCTCACCTGTGCTTGTGTGTGTCTCACCTGTGCCTGTGTGTGTTTGTGTATCACCTGTGTCTGTGTGTGTCTTTGTGTGTCTGTGTGTGTCTCACCTGTGTCTGTGTGTTTCTCACCTGTGCCTGTGTCTCACCTGTGTCTGTGTGTGTCTCACCTGTGTCTGTGTGTGTCTCACCTGTGTCTGCGTGTGTCTCACCTGTGTCTGTGTGTATCTCACCTGTGTCTGTGTGTGTCTGTGTGTGTCTCACCTGTGTCTGTGTGTGTGTCACCTGTTTCTGTGTGTGTCTCACCTGTGTCTTTGTGTGTCTCCCCTGTGTCTGTGTTTCACTTGTGTCTGTGTGTGTCTCACCTGTGTCTGTGTGTCTCACCTGTGTCTGTGTGCGTCTCACCTGTGTCTGTGTGTGTGTCACCTGTGTCTGTGTCTCACCTGTGTCTGTGTGTGTCTGTGTGCGTCTCACCTGTGTCTGTGTGTCACCTGTGTCTGTGTGTGTCTCACCTGTGTCTGTGTGTGTCTCACCTGTGTCTGTGTGCGTCTCACCTGTGTCTGTGTGTGTCTGTGTGTGTCTCACCTGTGTCTGTGTGTGTCTCACCTGTGTCTGTGTCTCACCTGTGTCTGTGTCTCACCTGTGTCTGTGTGTGTCTCACCTGTGTCTGTGTTTCACCTGTGTCTGTGTGTGTCTCACCTGTGTCTGTGTGCGTCTCACCTGTGTCTGTGTGTGTCTGTGTGTGTCTCACCTGTGTCTGTGTGTGTCTCACCTGTGTCTGTGTGTGTCTCACCTGTGTCTCTGTGTCTCACCTGTGTCTCTGTGTCTCACCTGTGTCTGTGTGTGTCTCACCTGTGTCTGTGTGCGTCTCACCTGTGTCTGTTTGTGTCTGTGTGTGTCTCACCTGTGTCTGTGTGTGTGTCTGTGTGTGTGTCACCTGTGTCTGTGTCTCACCTGTGTCTGTGTGTGTCTGTGTGTGTCTCACCTGTGTCTGTGTGTGTCTCACCGGTGTCTGTGTGTGTCTCACCTTTGCCTGTGTCTCACCTGTGTCTGCGTGTGTGTCACCTGTGTCTGTGTGTGTCTCACCTGTGTCTGTGTGTGTCTAACCTGTGCCTGTGTCTCACCTGTGTCTGTGTGTGTGTCACCTGTGTCTGTGTGTGTCACCTGTGTCTGTGTGTGTCTCACCTGTGTCTGTGTCTCACCTGTGTCTGTGTCTCACCTGTGTCTGTGTGTGTGTCACCTGTGTCTGTGTGTGTGTCACCTGTGTCTGTGTCACCTGTGTCTGTGTCTCACCTGTGTGTGTGTCTCACCTATGTCTGTGTCTCCCCTGTGTCTGTGTCTCACCTGTGTCTGTGTGTGTCTCACCTGTGTCTGTGTGTGTGTCTGTGTGTGTGTCACCTGTGTCTGTGTCTCACCTGTGTCTGTGTGTGTCTGTGTGTGTCTCACCTGTGTCTGTGTGTGTCTCACCGGTGTCTGTGTGTGTCTCACCTTTGCCTGTGTCTCACCTGTGTCTGCGTGTGTGTCACCTGTGTCTGTGTGTGTCTCACCTGTGTCTGTGTGTGTCTAACCTGTGCCTGTGTCTCACCTGTGTCTGTGTGTGTGTCACCTGTGTCTGTGTGTGTCACCTGTGTCTGTGTGTGTCTCACCTGTGTCTGTGTGTGTCACCTGTGTCTCTGTGTGTCTCAGCTGTGTCTGTGTCTCACCTGTGTCTGTATGTGTCTGTGTGTGTCTCACCTGTGTCTGTGTCTCACCTGTGTCTGTGTGTATCTCACCTGTGCCTGTGTCTCACCTGTGTCTGTGTGTGTCTTACCTGTGTCTGTGTGTGTCAGTGTGTGTCTCACCTGTGCTTGTGTGTGTCTCACCTGTGCCTGTGTGTGTTTGTGTATCACCTGTGTCTGTGTGTGTCTTTGTGTGTCTGTGTGTGTCTCACCTGTGTCTGTGTGTTTCTCACCTGTGCCTGTGTCTCACCTGTGTCTGTGTGTGTCTCACCTGTGTCTGTGTGTGTCTCACCTGTGTCTGCGTGTGTCTCACCTGTGTCTGTGTGTATCTCACCTGTGTCTGTGTGTGTCTGTGTGTGTCTCACCTGTGTCTGTGTGTGTGTCACCTGTTTCTGTGTGTGTCTCACCTGTGTCTTTGTGTGTCTCCCCTGTGTCTGTGTTTCACTTGTGTCTGTGTGTGTCTCACCTGTGTCTGTGTGTCTCACCTGTGTCTGTGTGCGTCTCACCTGTGTCTGTGTGTGTGTCACCTGTGTCTGTGTCTCACCTGTGTCTGTGTGTGTCT